GCTGGAGGCATGGAGTAGAGGCTGAAAGTAGACCACCTAGGTATTCCTCCTCCTCTTCTTCCATAACTCTGGATCCTTGCTTCTGGTGTTCTTTTCACAAGTCACTAAATATGCTAAACAGTTTATTGAATTTTCACCAAAACTTTTACAGCAGTACTTTTTGGAATAGCAGAGAACTGGGATCAAAGCTGTGTCCGTCAATGGGGAATGTGATACATGAATGTAACAGCAGATTAGTGTCCTGTAAGAAAAAACAAATATAGGTGAATAGAGAAAAATGTGGCGAGACTAATATGAACTGGTGAAGTGGGAAGTAAGCAGAGCCAAGAAAACAACATACACAGTTATTACAACATTGTAAAGGGACACAAGTGATCGAATGGTCCGTAGAATACAAGGTCCCACCGTTTATTGTTTTTTTAATTAAATTTTATTTTGTATTCATTTTTGAATTCTTTCCTTCCCTTTCCCCCTCCTCCACCTGTCCAGAAGGCAAGAAAAATGAAACCCATTAAAATCACATCTAGTCATGCAAAACAAATTCCTGCATTAGTTATGTCCAAAAAAAAAGAAAAGAAAGGAAGGAAGGAAGGAAGGAACAAAATATGTTTCAATTTGCATTTCTCTAGTTATTCTCAATTTAGAGCTTTTTTTTTCATATGGCTACTGATAACATTGCCTATATTTTCATCACGTTCTAGAGAGGCCCAGGTTTGAGATTCCCCCAGATGCAGTTTTGAGCTCGGCCACTAGGGGACCCCCACCAGGCCAGGCCTTGTGACGTTCTTGGTCGCTGGGCAACCGACCCTCTTTCTGCTCAGGGGAGTGGAGTCAGGGGGCGGAGCCTCATCGCCCCAGTGGCGGGGGTGGGGGCAGAGGGAGGAAGTTGGGCGGAGTGGGGAGAGCCAGGCCAGGCGGAAGGCCCCGCCCATCCGCCTGGGCCCGATTACACGTGGACTGCTCTGAGAGCCGCAACAAGCCGGGCTCCGGGAAGTGGGAAGGAGGGGCGGGGCGGTTGCCAATGGGCGAGGGATGAAGGGGCGCGCATGCGCCACAAGGGAGTCCCGAAGGGGCGGAGCAAGAGGAGGAAGAAAACGGGGACGCGGGACCGGGGCGGTGGAGACGCTGCCTGGTGGGCTCGGAGTTTAGGGCTGCAGGACCTCGGCCTCCTGACTGCAGCCTGGGTAAGTGGGGGTCCGGGGTCCGGGGCTCCGGGCTCCCAGACTTTGGCCTGGAGGCGGCTCCCGGCGGGGCAGCCCAGCCAAAGTAACGGGACCCTGGGACTGAGAGGAGCGGAACCGGGGGCCGGGAGGGGGACTCCCGAGGGCTTCCGGGCGCATCCAGCATCCGGTGAACCGGGGGCCGGGACACAACGCTGCGGAGAATGGGGAGGCGGCCTGGGGCAGGTAGCTGGGGCCTCAGGAACAGAGCAGGGGTCTGGAGACCTGGGGAGCGAGGGGGAGGGGAGGGGTCTGGGGATCTGGGAGCGGGCCAGGGGTCTGGAGACCCGGAGATCCCAGGGATCCGAGAGCATGCCAAGCTCGCGGGATCCAGGAGTGCACGAGCGTGCAATGCCCAGCGTCCGCCCTGCCTGGATAGTGTCAGGTGAAGCAGAGGGGCTGCACCCTGGGACCCGAGGCAGCAGCTGACCACCTGGCCCGAGGGCCTTTGCTGTGCCCCCACCCCCAGGAGAAGTGACCGGCCTGGCTGAGTCTGACCCTGGTAGCTCACTGTCCAGGGTCTTGGCTGGGACCTTTACAAGCCAGAGGCAGAGGCAGCCGAGGGTCAGAGTCAGGGGTGTTTCCGGAGGTCCCTACGTGAAAGTGTGCTCCAAATACCAGCTTTTGAGGGGAGCACCGAGCCCCAGTCCTGCTTTTGTCTGGGAGAACCTGCCAGGCTCCCCCAAGCATATGCTTCCTCTCTCACATTCGGGCCAAGAGCCCAGTGTTGTGAAATAGGGGACTCTATAGAGGTTGAGGTCAGGAAGACCTAGGTCACCTCCCACCTTGAACACCTACACTGCTGTGGGACCGTGGGCAAATTGTTGCCTCAGTTTCCTTTTCTGTAAAATGAGGGGATTGGACTCTGTGGTATACACAGTCCTTCCCGACTCTAAATGTGTGATAGTACTATCTCCACAGGCAAAGTTGTGCCTTGCCTAACTTGCCTTTGTCACTTGCTTTGGATAGAGGTCATCTTGGGCACCATGTCCACAGCATCAGTAAGGCGCTCCAGGAGTTTTATTTTTGTTTGCTTCCAGACTAGGACAGAAGCTGCTAACAACAGCTTATGGGTATTTTGGGGAGGTAAGAGGAAAACCAAATGCTTTCTGATTCTAACTGGACTAGTGATAACTTGATTATGAGAGCTGAAGATCTCAGAGGTCCCTTCCAACCCTGTTCTTCCAGAATGACAGAGCTGGACTTTAGCTGGAAGGGCCCAAAGGCTCAGTAGGATCATAGAGTTCAAGCTGGAAGAGAAACACAGAGGGAGGCTATTTCAATCCTCTCATGTTACAAATGACAAAACAGGTCTGGTTAAGCTCAGTGACTTTTCCAAAGTCCCACAGGTAGTGCAGGGTGGAGCTGGGAACTGAACTCATCATTTAACTCCAAATCCAGCAATTTATGGGAGGTTCTGAGATCTCTTTCCCTGGTTCAGTAATGTATAAAAGCTTATATCAGATTCAGTGACTTTCAGTTCATTTTACCAAATGCCTGGTTTATCTTCATCTCTGGGCACTGTGAAAGGCATGAGACAATCAAGGATTTGTCCTCAGAATTTAAAATCTAGTAGGGGAGAAGAATCCCGTGTATGTGATGAGTGCGAACATGAATGTTAATAACTGACACATAGTACTTTAATGGGCTGCTATGTGGCGCAGTGGATAGATCGCTGGACCTGAACTCATGAGTTCAAATGCAGCCTCAGACACTAGCTTTGTGACCCTGGGTAAATCACTTGATCCTGTTTGCCTCAGTTTACTCATCTGTAAAAGGAGCTAGAGAAGGAGATGGTAAACCACTCCAGTATCTTTGCCAAGAAAACCCTAAATGGGGTTGCAAAGAGTTGGACATGACTGAAAAACTACTGAACAACAACAAAATCACTTTAATATTTTCAAAGGGCTTTAATCCTCAAACCAATCCTTCAAGGTAGGCATTATAATCTCCATTTTACAGAATAAGAAACGGGCTTTTATTGATTTGCTCGGGGTTCCATAGTTAAGTTACAGAGGCAGGATCTGAACTCGTCTTTCCTGACCCTGAATGCAGCACTCTACCATATGATGCTTTAGATATTATGGCGTATAGATAGTTGTAGAAAGGAGAAGTCTGGGTTGCTTGGAATAGTCAAGAAGGGTCTCAAAGATCTGTAGCTGGAAAGGACCTTAGAGGGAGGCCATCTGGATGAATCTTCTCATTTTATGGATGAGGAAACTTGAGGCCCATGGGGTAAAGTATCTTGCCCAAGGTCACACAGGTAGTAAACTTGAGAGGTCTTCTGGCTCCAGATTTGGTGCTCTTTCTACTGAACCATACTGCTCCATGGTGTTTGAGATTTGAATCTTTGACGTTGAAGGATGAGAAGGCTTTAGATAGATATTGAAGATGGGTTGAGACCATTGGGAATGGTTGTATCGTTAGATGCTGGCTGGGGACTCTCAAGTTGTCATGCCCAAGCCAGGGCATGATTGTGGGGGTTTTTTTCTTCTCTTCACTTGGTTTCTTCTTTCTTGTTCCTGAGAGTTAGAAACATATGGTAACTACTGCATTCAGAGGGAGCTAAGCAAGGTCCTGTTAGAGGGACTGAGCCAAATACCCCAAATGATGAGTGGTGTTTTGGATTTGACAGCAAATGTACGAGTTGGAAATGTCTGAGATGACCTAGCATTGCTACCCCCTTCTCACATTTCTCAGAAGTGGAAGGCCTGAATTGTCACTCTTAGTAGTGATTTAAGTTCTAACAGTGTGGCAGGAGCACATTTACTGCTGAAATTTGACTGTTTGAAAGTTAGAAGGTAGTTTCTGACTGTTCTCCACTTTTTTTGTTATTGTTGCTGTTCATTCGTTTCAGTCATGTCTGAAGTAATTGGAGCTCAGCTGCCTTTTAGTGTTGTTTTCATCTGTGCTATTGAAGACTTGGTATAGTTCTCTTAGTTCTGCATCTCTATCACTTCAGTCACTCTTTGTTACCCCATTCGGGGTTTCCTTGGCAAAGATATTGGAGTGGTTTGCCATTTCCTTCTCTAGCTCATCTTACAGATAGGGAAACTGAGGCAAACAAGATTAAGTAACTTGCGCAGGGTCACACAGCTAGTAAGTGTCTGAGGCGGCATTTGAACTCAGGTCTTCCTGACTCCAGTCTCAGCAGTCTATCCGCTGTGCCACCTAGTTGTTCTACTTTTTTGTTCTAGTAAGATGGCAGTTAACATGGAAACCTTTTATTCCACGGCACAGAACAGATTTCATCATGAAGAGTATCTGTGTTCAGTGAGACTCTTGGGTGTGTGGGTGTGTAGGTGTGGGTGCTGGATCATCTACACAAATACTTCACCACATATCCATCCAAGTGAGTGCCTCTCTAGGGATTGCTGGGGCAGTGCTGCCTCCCTCCAATTTCCCCTCCTCTTTTTGATTGATGACTTTATTTTAACATCAGTTATCTCCTTGAATGTTTCCTCCACTCCACATTGAAACTTCCTCATGACAAAGAAAACCGGTTCTGCAAAACAGACTGACAAAGCATGAAATTTTAGAACATGCACGGTGCCCTGCACCCCCACACTCTAGCCCTCCCCATCTAGGTGAGAGATAGGTACTTTTGACCTGGGAATCATGGGAATCATGGCAGTGTGCAGACAAAGAAATCAAAGTTATCTATAGTTATACGAAAAATGCTAAAAATCACTATTGGCCAGAGAAATGCAAATTAAAACAACTCTGACGTTCTACCTTGTACCTCTCAGAGTGGCTGATATGACAAAAAAGGAAAATGACAAATGTTGGAGGGGATATGGGAAAACTGGAACGCTAATGCACTGTTGGTGGAGTTGTGAACTGATCCAACCATTCTGGAGAGCAATTTAGAACTATGCCCAAAGGACTGTAAAACTCTGCATACCCTTTGATCTAGCAATACTACTGCTAAGTCTATATCCCAAAGACATCCAAAAAAAGGGGGAAAGGACCTATTTGCACAAAAATATTTATAGCAGGTGTTTTTGTGGTACCTAAGAATTGGAAATGATAAGCAGGATGATTTCAGAAAAACCTGGGAAGACTTACATGAACTGATGCAAAGTGAAATGCACAGAACCAAGAGAACATTGTTCACAGTAACAGCGACATTGTTTGATGAAATTGTGAGTGCCTTAGCTATTCTCAGTAGTACAGTGATCCAAGACAATCCCAAAGGACTCTTGATGAAAAATGCTGTCTGCCTCTAGAGAACAAACTGATATTGTCTGAACACAGACTGAAGCATGCTATTTTTCACTTTCTTTCATTTTTTCTTTTATTTGAGTCTTCTTGTACAAAATGACCAATAGGGAAATGTTTTCTATAATTGCAAGAAAAGTAAAGTAGTCAGAGTTTAGTGGGGGTGGGGGGTGGTGATTGTTCCATTGTAAGTAAGTAATTGGAACTTAGCTACCTTTTAGTGTTGTTTCCATGTGCTATTTATTGAAGTCAGGGTATAGTTCTCTTAGTTCTGCATCTCTATCACTTCATGCAAGGCTTTCCACATTCATCTGAATTCTGCGTTTTTGCTGTTTCTCACATCCAACATAAGAATCTTCTATTAGGTTCACATGTCATTCTCCAGTCACTTTGTTGCCAGTGTTTTGCTATCACAGAGAGTGCTGCTCTGAATATTGTCTTATCCCTAGGACTTTGCTCGCTGTTACTGACGACCTTGGAGTATGTGGCTGGTAGCACTCAAACTGTTTTGAAAGTATTCTTGTGAGGATGGGGATGGAGTGAGCAGATGACAGTGCTCCTTGGATTACAACTGTTCTTTGCAAAAGAGAACAAATGTCCCCAGGCCCCAGATACCCCTCCCCTCACCATTGCTGAGTTGGGGGTGTGGTGGGGAGATGGGGAGCACTTTAAGGTACCAGCTTGTGCTATAATCCAATGGTTTGTGGACTACAGCTGGCCACTTGGACAGTCTGGATGAGGGAGTCTCGGCAGGACCTGTGGCCCACCTCTGGAAAGTGACCCCACCCCCACCCCTTCTCCCCAGTTATCGCATCCATTGGGCCTTTGCACTGCATGCCGTTCGCCCACTTTGGTTGTTTATTCATCTGCCACCTCCAGACCAGATGGTTGACTCAGTGAAGGCCTGGGGCTTTTTGCCTTTAATTGTTGGAGATGGGCTTCTTGGCAACCCACACTGTGCCAGGCCTATGGGCTACTTCATCTCCATAGTACCTAATCCTTTCACATCTGTTGTGCCATTCATTAGACCATCTCAGCAGCCGGATGAGACAGGCAGGCCAGGGCTTATTAGGTTCCATTTGACAGATAAAGAAATAGTCTTCCTTCCCTCCCTCCCCCTTCAAGTCCAGTGGGTCTGTTGCCTCTTTGAATTGGCAGGAGTGAAGATATATCTCAAATCTTTATGGGAATTTTAGGTGTAATTTATGCCTTTATTATCACCCTCTGTATTTCCTCCTCTTATTAGAAGCAGATATAAGCTCCCCGACGATGCTTCAAGTCACTCTCCTGTGCTGCCTTCTTGGGGCATTCAGCTTCCTGAGCACTGGGGCAGAAGACCCTGTGGACAGCCATGGCCACGCTGGTGTTCGCCTGGATAAGAACATGGTGCAGGATAAAGAGTACGTGTTATGGGGGTTGCCAAGTGCTAGAGAGTGGGCCTGTCAGTTGCAGCTGTAGCTGCATCCAGAACATTATTTTTTCCTAAAACATATTCCAATCTCTGATTTTATTTGATCGGAGCAGCAAATCCTGGGAGGTGGGTAAGTCATGATAGTTGTTATCTCCAGTTACACGGGTGGGGAAACTGAGGCCCAGAGAAGTTAAGGGGTTAGTGGTACAGCCACCACTGGAGCCTACATTTCTGGTCTCCCAGCATCACCCATGTCTTTTTCCTTCGTGCATGAGAAATAACCCGACAGTGTTGTATTCATCCCTAAAACTTTCATTGTCCTGAGGTGGGTTAGGTAACCACAGCAGGCATGGCCTTTTACTGTTGCTGCTCTGAGACACAATGCCTGAGACTTAAGCCATGGTTGCATTCAGACAAGTTATTCGTGTGTCGTTCATGCATTGCAGTCAGAGAACTGATTGAAGTCTTCTCAAAGCCTTCACAATGGTCTCAGCCTGATTGTTGGTTTTTAGGCACATCATGGAACACTTAGAAGGCGTCATTGAGAAAAGTGAGTCGGAGATGTCTCCACAAGAGCTGCAGCTGCATTACTTCAAGATGCATGACTATGATGGCAATAATTTGCTCGATGGCTTAGAACTGGCCACTGCTATCTCTCATGTCCATAAGGAGGTGAGTGAGAAACCCACATGGGGGTAATACCCGTGTGAAAAGGTCCTTGGGAATCATCCTCATGTAACAGGTACTGATGTGACCCTCACCTCTTCATTAGCAGGAGACTCATTGCCCTGTAGCTTCTGCCTGGAGAGTTGTGTTCAGTGCTGGGCGCCGAATTTGTGGAAGGACATTGATAAACATGAGAGCAGCTAGGATAGAAAAGGCCCTCAGATTTGTGCCATATAAGAATAGGGATGTTTAGCCTGGAGCAGAGAAGACTCAGGGGAGACATTATATTTGCCTTCAAGTGTTCAGAGAGCCACCACATGCTGGAGGGGTAAGATTCCTTCTCTTTTGCCCCAGAAGGCACCAGGAGAAATGGATGAAAGTACCCAAAGTACCAAGAGGTAAATCTAGAGGTGATGTCTAGCAGTTAGGGCAATATAGAAGTTGAATGGACACCCTTGGGGGGGGTGTGTGGGTATTTGTGTTGAGGGGGGTCTCCCAAGAGAAGGCAAGGTGACCACTTTTAGGGTGTGTTAGAGATGGGATCCTTTTTTCAGGCATGGACTGGATTAGATGACCCTCAGATTCCCTTCCAACCCTAAAATTTTGTGATTTTCCTGTCGCATCCCACTACTTTTCCTCTTCCTTGTTCCGTTGCCCCTCCTGTACAGAACAGACTAGAGAATTTATTTCTTTAACCTAACATGTCAATTTAATGTACCCTTTGATAGCTCCTTTCAGAAAAAAAAATTGGTGTGGAAGTAGAATAGGTTGATTCCAGGCTAACATGATGGTTTGGATTTTCTATGCCATCCAGACCCAATCACTGCCACAGATAATTGGTTTGAGATGCTCTTTAAAAAATTAGAAAATGCATAGTCAACCTGTGGGAGTTTCTTAACATTGAGTAATTCTAAAATGGCAGGAAGGAAAGGCCCTTAGAAATCATCTAGTTTGACCTCCTTCATTTTGTAGAGGAGTCACTTTTTTTTTTAAACCCCCAGGGCCAAGCGTAGTACTTGTACGTGCATCTTGTAGGTGCTTAATAAATGCTTGTTGAATGGAATGAGGAAACTGAGGTTTAGAAAACTTTGGGACTGCTAAATGGCAGAATAGGAACAGAACCGCAGTCAGCTGACTCTAGCCTGGATTTGCCAGTCCCTCACATACTAGATATATAACTTTATAAGAAGGTGGACCTAGGCTGTTTTGCATAATAATTCAGGCTGCACATGCTTATGAGAGCCTACTGTATTCTCATCCCTATCCTAGAAGCTATTGGAAATTCAAGTATGTATAGTTTCTGGCCACAAGGGATTTGAAATTTAATTGGAGAGCTAGGATGTAGCCACATAAAAAAGGTAATTAATAGTCTAGCTGTGTGACCCTGGGCAAGTCACTTAACCCCAATTGCCTTAAAAAAAATAGTTTAAGGCAGCATGTGGTAAGTGTCAAATGAGTAGTATAGATCATAAATGCCATAGACATTTAGAGGAGGGGGATGATGGTGAAATGAGATAGTTGGGGAAAACTACTTGGAGGATGTGGGATTTGTTAGACCTCCAAGGATGGGTAGAATTTAGAGAATAGAGAAGATATTCCATTCAAGCAAAATGGTGTGTGTATCAAGAAGATTAGGACTGAGGGGTTTCCATATTGGAAAGGTGAACTGGGATCAGATTATGGATATCAAGCTAAGGAGTGTAGTTATTATCCTGTTGGTGATGATAAGCCTTGAAGGATTTTGAGCAAGGAGAGGACCTGGTCAAGCAGTGTTTTGGGAAGATAGTTCTGCTCTGGTGGGCAGGATGGATTGGAACAGGAACGCTGGAGGCAGGGAGACCAATTAGGCTGTTGCAGCAGTCTAAGTGTTTAGAGGTAGGCTGGGCAGTGGGTTAGGGCTGGGGTGAATGTGGTGACTGTGGAAATGGAAAGATGGGATGGCTATGGGGAGTATTTCAAAGGAAGAATCAACCCAACTCCTAAACAGTGACCTGCTGTGAGCTATTCATTCATTCATTTACTTACTTACTTACTTCATTTATTTATTTATGTAAGGCAGTTGGGGTTAAGTGACTTGCCCAGAGTCACACAGCTAGC